TTTTTGTATTTGATGTCAGTGTATTTTTTTTGTGTTAGTGTGTGTGTGTGTGTGTGTGTGTGTGTGTGTGTGTGTGTGTGTGTGTGTGTGTGTATGGTCAGGATTTCTGTGAGTGATGTCGGTATGTGTGTTAATGTTTCAGGGTGCGTCATATCAGTATGTATACATGTGTATATGTATATATGTGTGCAGTGTTAGTATATGTGTGTTTTTTCCCCCACGTATTTTCATTTTAATCGTAGAGGACCAGCAGATTTACACATTCACTCACAGAGAGAAATACAACTGTGGGTTTAGGTGCGATTAGGGATTTCGGCATCAGGAACTTGCCATTTCCTGCAGCAAGAATCCCTAATGCCAGCTACATGCAGCAGCTGTCATCCATTCAAGTTACTGATCAGGTGACAGCCGCATGCATGTAAGCACCTGTGTTAGGAATCAATCACTATCCCTGGATGCATCACTCGTGCATCCAAGGATAGTGATTGTTTTACAACTGCATATAATCATATCATATACGTTTACATGCGGTGTGTTGGTGTTTACATGCAGCGGCTGTCACTGTTACCTTTGAACTAGGGATGCACAGATACCAACGCCTTGTACTTGGTACAAGTACAAATACTTCTCCAGCTCCAAGACTAGACCAGAGAAAAACTCAAAATGTTAGGAGGAAGCTGTCATTTTTAAGAAGCATTGGCTACGGGACTCCTGGTATTTGTGCATCCCTGTTGTATGAGATTTGTTTTATATACATACACTGTACATTAGGGATGCACAGATACCATTTTTTCCAGACCAAGTACAACTACAGACACTTGTCCAAGTACTCACAGATTCCAATTACTGATAGATACATTCTTGTTTAGTGTTATGTGACAGTTTTTCTAAAAAAAAAACAACACTACAGACTAATGATTTCAGGACAGTGGTGGGCGCAAAGGCCCAGTCGCAACTGCGACCCTGGTAGTTCTCGTGAAAATGACAAATATCAGCACGGTTATCTGAACTAGTATCTGTGCATCCCTACTTTCAACACACCTTTGAAAAAGCCATCTTGGTGGCCCTAGTTTATTAGGCTAATCCCAGGGTATAGAGTACCCAACAGCACCGTTGATGCAGGCAAGATGTCCATATTCTCCAGTCCACTTAGGTCAACTGAGGCGGACGACAAAGAGGACGATAAAGAGGACCTCTTTATTGCAAAAACAACAGCCTGCACATTTCTGTTTAAAACTAGATACAATGACAGCTTCAATGCAAAAAGCACCCAGAATTAACTTTGTACTAATTATCATTAGGCTACGCTCAACAGTTTGCAAGCTTACCCTTCCAGAATTCTCAGGACCAAGACCCATGCCAAATTCTGTTCGTATATATGCGTTCTTTATGAGACTCGTTATATCTTGGAAAGTTTTACCGTAGTCCTCACTGGAAAGAGAATTCAGGAAGCAGAATTTCTATTATAAAGACTTACAAATATTTCAGTAACCGCTTTTTGATGGCTACTAAGTCAGTTTTGACTAGATGAAGTTGAAATAAGCCATGAAAAAACAGTACCTTGTTAAACACAAAGCTAAAGTGTGAAATTTAGAAGGTTTCATGCCTACAGCTTACTTTGCAGAGAGGATTCTGTGGCAACGGAAGATTACAGACAAGCACTACTTTCATGATGTCATCATACTCCAACAAAACTAAGGAATAAGATGGCTAAATAATAAAATAAACTTTATAATAGAAGTGAAACTCACCTCTTGTACAGATTTGACTGTCTATATGAAACTATAAGCAGTGGAATCCTGAAAGTAGTTAAAACAAGTACAACCTAAAAAAAAAAAAAAAAAAAAACACATTATGTGTGGTAAAAAAAACGGTAAAAAAATAATA